GTTTCAAAATTATACGCTATGGTAACTTCTGAAGGTAATGGGTGTCCTTCCGCAGTCAGTTGTTCTCTCACTACCGTTTGAAGCTTTGTGTTAAAAACTTTCATGTCATCTCCTGTGTCTAGGTTCACATACACAGCAATAGGAAAACTATCTTGCTTCTTTGTCTCATCATTATATCTCAAAACATTAAAGTTCTTCAATAATATTGTCCTTCCTGCTGGAATACTTCTAACTTGTCTTATTTCAATAGCTTTCTCACCTCCTACATACTCTACCCAGTGTCTTGGATATTCATAAGTATACTGACTTTCTTGAATTTTGGTTGGTTTCATCATAACATGTTCATAGTATATCTTTATACTCTTGTCAGTTAGACTCGGTGCTATGTTCTGAATATTTCTGACTTGCATTTTTAATGGAGATAAAATGAAGCATTTAATATGACGTAGATGAAGACATGAATGAAACTACAGACAAACTTAACTCTTCTCTTATTCTTCCTTTCAGTAAGGACTATGAGTTCTGTTCAAATGGTGTTTATTTCTATTGTGGAAAGATGGGGTCAGGTAAGACATTTAACCTCATTCGTCATATACTCATAACAGAGCGTTTAGGTCAAGATTCATATTATGACCAAATCATTATATCAGCAACTTCAGACTCTATGGACTCAACAGCGAAAACATTTATGTCAAAAGTTCAAGCCTCTGTCGTTAAAGTTCCAGATAGCGAACTCATTGAATTTCTTCAACGTTACATTCGACGTAAGAGGAAATATTATGCCATCGTTGAATTTATACAGTCAGGAATGCAAAAGACTTCAGAAGAGATGGAAAGAATTATTGACAAACACCACTTACGTCAATACTCAGGAGTTTACGATATGAAACGACTTACAAACTACATTCTGTCAAAACTTTCAAAATACCCCTTCAAAAAGTATCCTTCAAACACTCTGCTCGTTTGCGACGACTTCGCCGGAAAAGGTTTAGTGTCAAAAGCAGACTCACCATTAGCTAACATCATAACTAAAGTCAGACATTACCACTTAACTGTAGCAATACTTATGCAAACATGGAGGTTTTTAGCTTTAAACATAAAACGTCTCATAACTGACTTCGTTATCTTTCAAGGTTTCTCACGCTATGATATTGAACTCATTTGGAAACAGTCAGGTATAACATTACCTTTTGAAGAAATTTGGGAAGCATATAAGTCTCTCATCTCTCCTCGTTCATACCTTGAGATTCATATCATGACTAATACCATTAAAGTCAAAAATATTCCATGGGAACGACCAACATTGTTTTAAAGTTTAACCTTCAATTGACTGATGGTAAACAAATTCCATGCATCTCTGTCGCCATTTCTGTTAATATTTTTGCTGTCATTCATATCATCCACTTCCCCATCCGTTAACTTTTGAGGATATGCGTTAGAATAGCTGTTCTTAAATGAAGGCTTTTCACCTTTTAGCGCATAAACTCTATAACTTTCTGCATACTTTATGTTTGAACCTCCTGAGCCATCATTGACATAAATTTTTATAGGCTTCCACCCTTTGTTCATGTTCCTGCTTCTTCCCTTAGCTCTTTTGTTCAGTAGTTCTACATCTTTATACACAGCACCTGTCTCAGTGAATTCAAAATATTTTCATTCGTTAGCTTTACATTCAAACCCTTGTCGAGTATATTGTTCATTTCATACATATAAAAGGTTTTTATTCTATATGAAATGAGAAGCAAATCCATCTTAGCTGGTGCCGTTAATGTTCCAATTGAACCAACATCAAATGTTGACTCACGAACGACAAACAATATTGTCATAAAGAACTATAGTTCAGAGTGTTTGAAAGAAAAAGAACCAGAGCTGAAATCCGTGAATTTAAACTCAGCTTCAAACGCTAACGCTACATCAGATGTTAAGTTAGAGTATCCACCACTGGACCAAATTCTTTCAAGAGAAGCCAACGACAACCCTTACACAAATGTTCAAACAAATCCTTCAGATAACGTAGACCATTACCTTCTTCAGTTATATCAAACTATCTTACTCAAAGACGATAAGAAGCTTTTGACAAATCTTATAAGCAAGAACCAAATAATTCTAACAAAGGAGGACCTTGAAAATGTTATATCACGAATAACAGGGAAACAATGTGTCATTGACTATCTCGACCCTGAAATCGAATGCTGTGGTCAAACGCCACCATTCATGAAAATAGGTAACATCCGCATCATTGAAATACCAGGTACTCCAGGAGTTGAGTTTAAGTATAAATATTCGAACGAGTATACAAAACTTTCAACAGAATATAAGCTTTGTTTGAAATATGTTTTAGTAAATTAAAGCAGTCAGGAGGGCTCTTTGAGCCCATCTTGGCGCTTTGCGCCGTTAGTCAAAAAAATTTCAAGTTAGCAATTTGTAATATCTATCCAAAACTTCTTCAACAGTATCGAACTCATCTTCATAATGCAAACCTAATCTTATTGACTTGGTGCAGTTCTCACTAACACAATATAGCGCTTTGCGCTCGGCGCCTTTGACGCCTTTTTCTGTTCTCTTGACTGACATAACTAACTCATTTGTTTCATCAAACAGCAACAACCAAAGTTCATGACCTAATACATAACATTCATACTTTATATTTTTAGCTCTGAGTTCTCTTGTAAGCTGTTGCATTTAATATTTTCTAAAAAGTCTACTTCAACAGTCATTCGCACTGGTGCCTTCAGTTCTACAGGCTCTCCTTGAAAGTCAACTAGTCTGAATTGCATGTCTTTCAAATTATGAGGACTAATGCGAACCCATTTACCTAAATGAGTTGCTATGACAGGAACGTTTGGAATGAACATTGAATTGACTGCATAACAGAAAGACTTATATTCTACTGAACCTTTACTATTAACTCCTGAAATACCTGTGACATTAGCTATTTTTGACTCAATGTATAAACAATTGCCATAACATACGTATGGAACAGATTTCATCTCAATCGTTTTGTCAATACTTTTCAAAGGAAATGTCATATGGTATGCTCCCAGAAGCAATTGAACTCTATGACTCATTCGTGTTATCTTAAACTCCTTCGCATAACTGAACTTCAAAACTCCTGCAATAAGTTTAACATTCATTAAGTTTTCTTCGTTCTCCTTGTTTATTGTAGTATTTATGAGCGCATTTAACACTCCAGCTAATGTTTCCATCTTATATTCTACATTATTGTGAAATCTTATTTCGTGCTTCTTTCCATCTATTTCAAACTCCATGAAATCTGTTTCATCTGTTATAACGAATGAAGCGATAGTATTGAAGTCAACCATTCTGAATGCAAGTGGCTCATTCTGTAGACCTAAGTTTGTTTGTAGCTTTACTGTCCCGTATTCGTTTGGGTCTGTACTTTGCAAATAGAACAACATTTTATTCTCATTAAAATATGAGTATAGCTGCATATGCGTATGAAGCTGACAGAGCTAAACGTTTATATTTTGGTCAATACTCTCTCACACTTACTGACAAATATATTGTTATCAGTGATGGAAATACCGAGAAATACATAACATGGAAGGACTATGAAAAGTTTGACCCTATTTTAACTCCATGTACAATGCCATTCATTGTAAATGGTGAAGTTGTCATGAAGAACGACACAACAGTATATAAGTCTGTATATGAAGCATTAGAATATATGTTGAATTATAATCCCGAAAGATTTGACCCAAGCACTACACCATGTGCAATGCCTTTTATTAAGGACGGTGAAATCGTAAGAGTTCCGGATTCAACGGTTTATACTGCTGTTCAAAACAGTTTACAAAACATTTTAGCGAATATCTTTAATTCAGAAACTACAGAAATAAAATTACCATATATAACAGATGCTAAAGAAATTAAATCAAAAACGACAACATTATTTACGTCACTTAATGATTTAATGACTTATATCATTAATATTCCTGCACCAACTACAGCATTTGATCCAAACTCGACGGTTTGCAGTGTACCTTTCATAAAGTCGCAAAGCGACCAGGGCGAAGCCCATGACAGTTCATTAATTACTTTAAGGGATTCAACAGTTAATGAATCATTAAAGGCGTCATTAATGAAAATCATTGATTTTAACTCATTCACGAATACATATAATTCATTCATTAATGTTTCATATGCTTCTAAAGAAGGTGAGCCAAAAACTATCGATAAAGCGGTGTATGAAATAAAAGCATCAACGACGAAATTGAATTCGTTAACTTTTGACGGTGATAGTTTCGTTAATGACATAACATCGGGGAAAACAATTTTAACGAAAGAATATTTAAAATCTCATGTTAGTGAGTTCGTTGAAATTGAAAAAGAAGGTGGAATTAAGTTCGATCCACTGAATTTCATTTTCAGCTTAGCGAATGCGGGTGTTAGTTTCGCTGAATGGACAACTATACAGAGTGAAATAAATGCAATATGGACGTTTTTGGGGTCAAAAGCGGGAATGGGTGAGCTTGTAAATGCTGCAAGAACATTAGGTGAAACAGGAAATTTTGTAGATGGTTTTAAAAGACTTGTTTCAAATGTTTTAACAAACACAAGAAATTATTTAGATATACCATACATAACGGACGGATTTTCGAACAGGTAGCAACAAACCCTCCGGTTATGGCTGCGTTGATGATGGTTAGAGATATAAAACCACGTAACGACGGAACGAAGAACATGAACAACAGGATACTGGTCGGGTTATTCAAGACATTAAAAACGTGTATCCTGAAGTTATTGATTTATTTAGAGGAGTTAATGATTCAATTTCAAAACATTCTATAACCCTCGATGAAGAGAATAAATTAACAGATTATATATTCGTCATTATTGCAGAACTAATGAAGAGAATAAATGAAAAAGGAATTGGTGATATCATTAATGTCAGCGATGTAATGATGAAAAGAAATTTTGACTCATTATTTACAAAACCGAAAACAGAATATAGTCTTTATGACGTAATTACCGAATTAATGAAAAAGATTAATGATAATAAGAGTTCTGGCGGAAGAGTTGAATTAGAAGTGAATGATGTTAATGAGAAATTAGCCGAAAAAGCAGATAAAAACCACGTTCATTATATAACTTCAGACGAACAGATTATAACGGACTACCATGGATATTTAACACGAAGTGATGAAGCGAAGACAAAAAATGTTAATGAAAGAAGATATAAATACATTCGTGCTAAAGGTTATGACATAAGCTGTACTGTACAGTATGATGTAGCTAAAGCACCAGAAGCATTTGGTTATACCGGTGAAATTTATGCCTCTACTTTCTCTGTTAAAGGTGTATTAGTTGAACCAAGATTTACTTTGAGAGTTAAGTCAAAAATAACTTTTGAAGATGCTATTAAAAGTAAAGCTGACAAAGATGAACTTGACGCAACGAACAAAGTTTTGAAATCTCATAAACACAACATCTCCGATATAAATGAACTTCAAACTTCTTTAGACAGTAAAGCCGACAAGAACCATACACATAAATCCTTCACTACTGTTAGAGCAGACGACATAATATTGAACTTTGACCTTGGTTCAAGTGCACCTTTAGAGAATCCAAGTACAAGCGTAAAAGATACACTAAACTCCTTAAATAGTAAATGTATGAACATTGAAGGTCATGTCAGAAACTTTGAAACACATGAACTACCAGCAATGTTAGATAAGAAAGCAGATAAGAACCATACACATGATTTCTTCACAACTGTTGGTATAGAAAGTATTGAAGGAACGGTTGAAGGAACTGGTGGGGATGCATTATATTGGAAACCTCCTAACTTTCCACAAGGTTTAACATCGGAGGAAAACATAACGACGATGAAATACATTAGATGTAGAAATGTTTATGTCATGGAGGATGAAATAATGTTAAATTCACTGCTCAAGATTTATATGATAAGAAAGCTGACAAAACAGAGCTTCAAACATTAAAGACTGAAATACTTCAAACATTATATCCTGCAGGCTCTATTTATACGTCAATGAACTCAATAAATCCAGCAACAGTTCTGGGTTTCGGTACGTGGGAGCAGATTGTAGATAAATTCTTATACTGTGCGAACTCTTCAAAGCAAACAGGTGGTTCGAAGAAAATTAAAGAAGCAAACCTTCCACCGCACACTCATACAGGAACTACAAACACAACAGGTAGTCATTCACATTCAATAACAAAAAGAGGTTATACAAATCTTGCAGCAGGTTCGGATAGACAGGGAATGCATAGATATGATATTTCAAGTGACCCAGTAGATTCAAGCACAGGTATTTTCTGTGGAACCACAGGAAATCATTCACACACTTTCACAACAAATCCAACAGGCTCGGGTGAAGATTATATGCCACCATTTGTGACTATATTCGCATGGTACCGCGTTCAATGAACGCGCTTGAGCCTAGAATAAAATCTTTAACTTTACATAAATGAGCTTGAAAGAAGTATTCGAACAACATCCATGGAGGTCTTTTAAGAAGTTCAATGAAGCTGCAAAGAGTTGGGGATTTACTAACAGAGCTGAAGTGAAAAGGTTCTTTGACAAAAATGTTGTACATCAAACAAAAATAAATCCTTACGACTACTTTTTACCAATTTACTCCAACACTCCTGACGCATACCAATTTGACACTCTCATTCAAAGCAGAAAAGGAGGACATAAACCATTCCTCATCTTCATTAATGTTAACACTCGCAAAGCTTTTGCGTATATAATGAGAAATAAAGGAACTCATGAAGTGTTAAGAGTTTTACAAAAGTTTGTAGCAGAACATAGCCCAAGTATTTTAACATCAGACCAAGACGGTGCATACCTCAGCAACGAAATCACAGAATTTCTCATTAAGCATAACATAACTCACTACACTACTGAAGACCATAACCATAACATACTCGGTATCATTAACCGCTTCATAAGGACTCTCAGAGATTTAAATCAAGAGCGAGACTTTACCGAAGAAACAATGAAACATTTCATCGAAGTTTACAATTCCTCAACACATTCTACAACAGGACATACACCAAATTCAATGACACAACAACAAGAAGAAAAGTATATACAAAAGAAACGAAGTCAAACACAAAATATCAGAAATTCAACACAATTTACTCTCATTCCTGGAACAAAAGTTCGTGTAGTTCTTGACGACAAACCGTTGACAAAGAAACGTTTAAGGTTAAGTCGAAATTATTATATCGTAGACTCTACGCAAGGTAATGGATATCTTATAAAAGCTGCTGACGACTCCATAGCATTTTACCCTCGTCATAAATTAGTCGAAAGTAGTAATGGCAAACTTGCTGAAACCATTGACGAAGCAAAGCGAGGAGTGGTTATTGAAATACTTGACTACAACATAAACGATGACACTTATAAAGTAAGATATGAAGGAGGCGTTGAAGATGTTATACCATCTAAGAACTTGAGAGAATCTAAACCAACTCATCTGGGACCATTAGAGCGGGAGTACTGGAAAGATAAAAACATGCCAGAAAGAATAAGAAAATTCTTCTAAACTTTTTCGTTGGATGTAAATCAGACAAAAATATATTATAGGTGAAGAGGTGAGATTTCACCTGTTTTCTCACCTGTTTTTTCACCTCGTGAATTTTCGTGAATTTCCTTAAGATAGAAAAATAAAGTTAGTTTTATTTTTATTTATTTTTTATTTTGTATAAAAGATATGATTTCAACAATCGGCACAACAACAATTCAAGCCGCGAACGGCGGGACTCTGTCCACAACAACTTCACCAAACTCGTTAGTCATGAATCCAACATCTATGTTAGTAGAGATGGAAAGCTTCATTCCTTCTTCATTTACTTTCGAAACAGAAATACAAAAAATTAAGCAGGAACTTTTAACAAGTAATTTAGACTGTAGTGCGAAAGATGAAACAAATGAACAGTATCTTTATGAAATGGAGGACCTCATCGACCATTTACCTAAACTACCTGAAATTCAGCATCAAAAACTAACTATTCCTGAATTCGACGAAATTGAAGTCAAAGCAACTGACTCAGTAGAAATAAAGAAGTTCATACGTAAAGTAAATTATGAATTCCTTGGTTTTCATTGCAACCATAAAGTTATGGACAAAGATTGCGATATGGTATATAAAATGTTTCTGACATATATAAATCTGAAGAATTTAAGACCTACGACAACTTTGTTTCGTTAGTTGCTGAATGTGTTTGGGAAATAAGAGATAAAGATAGAAGAGGCAAAGTATGGAACGAACAACTAAGACCGCTATGTTTGAGATGAAGAGAGCAATTGACGCTTTAGTTGTTCTAGCAGGTCAAATTTCAATGTATAATGCAAAAATGAACCCACAATGTTCAAAATGTAAAGCAGCAATAAGGAAATATAACTACTCCGTCAAAGAGATAGAAAGAATGCGAAACGACTATGCAGACTTAAAGAAAGAAGCAGAAAAGCCAGCAGAAGATAAAATGGACATGTTAGCATTTCTGAACAAAAACTATCCAACAGTAGAAGATTTCCTTCTATCTGACGTCAAGAAGAAATATAAAGAGACTTTCGGCATTGTTAAAACTTTTGATATCCTCAGCGAAGAAATAGAAGCTACAAAACTGTTTAGGATTTCAAATATACATCGTACAATTCATGTAAAACGCTTGTGAAAAAAAGAGGTGAAAAATTAGGTGAAAAAAGAGGTGAAATCTCACCTCTTCACCTAAATTATATTTTTGGTCATTTACACTCATTTACGAAGAAGTCATGACAAAGCATTTACGATGAAATCTTGACAAGGCATTTACGAAGAAGTTATGACAAAGCATTTACGAAGAAGTTATGACAAAGCATTTACGAAGAAGTTATGACAAAGCATTTACGAAGAAGTTATGACAAAGTCATGAGGGTGAAAAATTAGGTGAAAAAAGAGGTGAAATCTCACCTCTTCACCTAAATTATATTTTTGGTCAAAGCTTCCACGAGAGAAAAGATTCCTCATTTGCTAAGGATTCCAAAAATGAAAAAATCGTTGATTTCGGCTGAGAAAAAACGGCAAAAACCCTTCTTCCACGGGAACAAAGAAATAAAGAAGAAATAAAGTAAATTTTTTATTTATTCCCGTGGAAGATAGAGCACTTTTATGACACTTTTTATTCACGACAAACAAGACAAATAAAGAAAATAAGAAAATACGGCGCTGTCGCGGTTCGAACCACAGACCCTGACCCCTCCATAACACCACCTTAGACCACTGTGCTACGTAGCCTGTCGACATAAGATTTTATAAATTGCATATTTGACGTAAATTTATTTCCATCTGGCTTCCCACTGCATAAGATATTCATACGTGTTTGTAAGACATTCATTAAACTTCTTTTCTATTGCATCTAATCTTGCGTTATTTTTTTCAATAACTTGTCTGTATTCTTCATCATCTCCAGCAGTGTTTGGGTCTTCACGTTTAAAATATTCATTGTTAACCAATTTTTTATCTACAAATTTTATTAGTGTTTGATTCACTTCGTTATGATAACGGTCATATTCTTTCAATACGTAAGTGAAGACAAAATGCGTCGTACCTTCAATCTTAAAGCTTAAAGAACTTTCAACACAGTTTTGAGGGTCTGTCAGTGCGTCAATGAGATAGTATTCGAAGTCAGTCAATAATCTTTTTAAAGTCATTTCATACAGGATAAAATTTAATGTTGTGAAGAAATAGTGTTTATCTCAAAAAAAAAAAGTTAGTTTTTATTTTATTTATTTTTTTATCCTGTATGTAAAGACAGATATGTCAACATTAGAGAACACAACAACTGCTATCGTTCATGAAGTCATAAATGAAGAATACGAATACATACAGTATAACAAACAATTGAGACTCATTCGTTCTGTCAAAGACGACATGTACCAAATGCAAAGTATTTTGACGGCTTGTTTTGCTCCAGATACTAAGCTTCCTAAAGACTGGTTTAGGAACCAAAGCACCATAGAACTATTAAGTGAAGCACAGCGAGACGTACTTTTTTCTGAAAACAGTGAAGAACAGCGAGTAGGTAAAAAATCCCAGTCGCCAAAACTCTATGAAAACCGTGAAAAATTGCCAAACGGTTTGAGAGGATATTATGTTCATAGACTTTTAGTAAATGCAGTTGCAATGTGGGCTTCACCACGTTATGCTTGGAATATTTACAAACTTCTTGACGAACTTCACAGACAAGAACGTGGAGAGATGGAAAAGAAACTTCAAGCAAAAGATGAAGTCATTGAATCCAAAGACAAAAGCATACAGAAAAGAATACCGCGTTCAGTACCAAAAGGAAAGGAAAAGAACTATAAGTATATGATTTATACTGAAGAGTTGGAGAATGAAGAAGACAGAGATATGGTTATGTTGCATTTAGTCAGAAGAAACAACAAAAGCTTTTACGACCTTGCTAAAATATATAAATCTGACAGAAACTGGTTCTATCGTGAAAACTTACCGATTTCAATGACACCGAATGAGCAAATAAAAGAAATTGTCAAAAATACTCTTCCTCAAACACACTATGACATCAAAGGTTGCACAATACTTACCTTCAAAGAAGACTTACCATTACTGAAGGAAAAAATAACAGAATATTTCGATAACTTCAAAGAGGAAGAATGAAGTCACGACAACATTAACGAAGAAGTCACGACAACATTAACGAAGAGAGAATGAGGTGAAAAAACAGGTGAAATCTCACCTCTTCACCAAAAATATATTTTTGGTTAAATAGCTTCAGGGTCAATTTCTTCAACCATTTCACTTCCTTCGTCAATGTCAATAGAAGCTTCTTCAACCTTTGGTAAGAACTTTTGTATAACATCTTTGTTCGTTATTGTCTTCAGAGATGAAGGATAATATTTCACATTTATTTCACCCTTCTTATATTCTTTCTGTTCGGAAAGATTTAGCAATACTGAAGAAGTCAATGTTGGAGTTCTTTATAACAGTATAATGAGTATCTTTGACATTCACGAAGAAACCCTTTTGTTTCAAAACTACTGCTAACTCTTGTGAAGTATAACGTTTGCGGTCAATGACAATAGCTAATGGTCTGACATACTGACCGAACTTAGATTCTTTCACAAACTTCTTGTTAAAGATAACATTACGTTTGAAGCACCATTGAACTCATTCTTGATGGCAGTAGCGAGAGCATTGTATGAAAAGAACTTGCAATCTTGCATGTGTTTCATTAAAATAAAAATATTAAATTATTTTGAAAAATAACTTAAAAAAATGTAATCTAATTTTTCAAAAAATATTTTTTATCCGATAGAAAAGATGACAGAAAAATTAACTTTTTACATAGCGCCAGACCCTTCTTGCCCACATCCTTTTAAGCCACAATATATAGACATAGAACTAAATAGAGAAAGCGAAATTCCACAATATATATACATAGAACTAAATAGTGAAGGCGAAATTCTACAAACAGAAGAAAGCGAAATTCCACAAACATATAGAGACCTAGATAACGAAAATGGATATGCGCTATTCTGGTTAGATTGTCCTTATAAAATGTATGAAAAAAAGGCTTTATATGAAGAATATAGAAAATATTGTCATGAAAACGATATAAGACCAAGCTCTAGAGAAAAATTCTATGCTGGTATAAAACATCTTTTCGAAGTTCGGAATGGCAAATATATAAAGAAATAATTTTTCTAAGTTTATTTTTTCGAAAAAATATTTTTTTATTTCCTACTAAAGATGTATCGGAAGTTGTCTAAGTTAGAACACTCGGAAATAAAACAACTTCTTACAGAAGCTAATATAGATGTTGCAAAACATTACGCGACAAACAAAAAAGCACTCGCTGACTTCATTAAAGACTACAATGGTGCAATAAGTTATGATAGAATTCATGAGTTCATAAAGCCGCAACGCGGCGAGGACGAAGTCCATGCAAGAGCATTTCCTTTAAATGACATTGCTATTGACTTATATCATAGACGTTCAGTACCTCATGAAGTAAGAAGAGAAATGTTTGACATAACAAATGCGAACGTTGGTCATACTCGTAAAGCTCTTTCGCATGATGTTCGTCAAGAAATGTTTGACATAACAAATGCAAACGTTGGTGAAACAAGAAGAAGAGACGACACACTGAAACAACAGAGAAGAGAGATGTTTAAAAGTGCTATAGAACAAGTTCGCAAAGCTAACGATGTCATTCGTTCCATTGACGACAAACCAAAAGAAGGTGAGAGATGGTTAAAGAAAGATGAAGAGAATAGGAAGAGAAATGTGAAGTCAGGCAATAGACTCATTGACTTTAACATCGAAGCTTTAGATGAACCAAACAGAGAATATTTACACAAACATTTCGGTAAGGTTTTCATGAGACTCTTAGAGAAAATTAAAATAAACTCGCAACAAAGATGGATGGTATGTTATAAACTTGGTGGAAAGTATGAATGTTCTACGTTAAACCTCAATAATATTGGAACATTACTACATCAGCTCTTGAAGGAGAACTTTATATCAGAGATAGAAGCAAATGCTGCAGGTATTGTTGAAATGCACTATGACTTCTTCTTGACAAACATAAAGAATCTTACTGAAATAAAGATGTATGATTTAACAGAATATGAAGGCTTAACGATGTCAGATGTAAAGAAAGGCAAACCAAAAAAGAGACCATATAGAGATGAAAGCACACTGACAAATGACCAGAAAGCCATTTTGGAAGCTCTTAAGCAAACAGGAAACCCAGCACTTATAGAAAGCTTTTGGAAAGATAATGGTGAAAAGAAGTTTTATAAGAAGAGAAGCGGTCAGTTATGGAAGTATCTTTGCACATTACCTATAAATCTTGAACGCTACCAAATCTTCAATGAACTGAACAAAAGAACTGCAATACTTATGACAGAGGACAATTGTTTCGTTTATGCTTGCATTCAGGCTGGAGTAAATGAAGAAACTATTGACCACATGAGAGAAGTCATTCGTGTTAGAGACTTTCCTCAAAGTAAAGTACAAGAAATTTCTGACGCAACAGGTATAGCATTTAATGTTACCATTGGTTATTTCAATGACTCAAGACATAATGAAATAAAGAGATATATACCAAAAGAATGCGAAACTGTTAGAACTATTGACTTACTTCTTGTTGAAGACCACTACATGCTAAATGAAAGACTTCCAATGACAACATACTTCATTCGAAACTATAAAGAAATTCTCAAAGCTTGTGGTGGAATGAACATTGAGAAACAGATGAAGATTTATACAAAGAGAGAAGATAAATATGTAGTTCGTTATGATAGAACAACACCGTTATGGGATGTTATGAAAACATTGTGGGAGTGCAAATATTTCGAACCTATTTCTTATGGAGAACTTTTCACATATACTACTGACTTATATAAACAGAACCTTGCACCATTTAAAGATTTGACATATGCTCCAAAGTATTGTGTACAACTGAAGAAGAAAGCAGAGTCAAAAGAAGTAAATAAAGCTAAATGTAAATTCATTCCTGAGCACGTTTTCTTTGCTGACTTTGAGTGTAGTACGGATGGCTTTCATAAAGCTTTTAACATCTGTTATGACAGTGAAGATGGTTCAGTGAGTGAAAGCATTTGGGGTCAAAACTGTGCAACAGAATTTTTGGAAAGACTCCCTGACAAGAGTTTAATATATTTTCACAACCTCAGTTATGACATAAACTTCATCTTAAGACACATGACAGAAGTGAAAGGAACTCCCATCATTAAAGGTTCACGAACAATGCAAATAACTGGTTTATATAAAGGACGGGCAATTATTATAAAAGACTCTTACAGTGTTATAAATAAGAAGCTTAAACTATTTCCTGCTATGTTTAACTTACAAACAGGACCGAAAGAAGTATTTCCATATAACTACTACAGCAGTGTTTTGTTAGCAAATGACAACAGAACTGGTGTCATTTCTGAAGCATGTAAGTTTATCCGGGATGCAGATACATTTATGAAAAAAACATAGATTCCATCAAAGGTTGCAGAATAGATGAGAACCACTTCGACTTAGAAAAATATAGCACGTTTTACTGCAAACAAGATGTAAGAATTTTAAGAGAAGGTTTTGTAAAGTTCCGCAATGACTTATTGAAAGAGTTTGATTTAAACGTTTATGACTACGTTAGTATTTGTTCAATTGCTAACAAATTGTTTGAGAACAGAGTATACTTCCCGAATGGAAATCTTTATGACCTCTCAAATAAACCAAGAGAATTTATTTCGAGATGCATTCAAGGTGGAAGATGTATGTTGTCAGATAACATGAAACAAAAGAGCAAAAAGAAACTCATTGCTGACTTCGACACTGTTTCATTATATCCTTCAGCTATAGCAAGACTTTATACTTTAGAAGGTATTCCAAAAGTATTGAAGGAAGAAATGTTAAACACAGAGTATCTCATGAGACATTTATTCGATGATGACCAAAAGGAACCCATTGGTGAAAAGTTTATGTCTGGCTTCTTTGTTCTCATTAAGATAACAGAGATTGGTATACCCAGACACTTTCATTTAATAGTTTGCGACCCTGAACTAAATCCAGAACTTAACGTTCCAAGAAGTTCAAACACTTGCTGTCTCATGTATGTTGACCATATAACATTACAAGACCTCATAAAATCAAGGTGTCAAATGTGAAGTGTTGCAAGGATACTATTACGATGGAAACAGAGATATGAGAATAAGAGATGAAGTAAAGAAGTTGTTTGAGTTAAGGTTAAAGTATAAGAAAGAAGAAAACCCCTTACAAGAAATTATAAAACTCATTCTGAACAGCATTTATGGCAAAACTATTCTATCTCCTATTGAGTCAAAAATAACCATAGTAGATGACAAAGATGCTATAAGATATGCTATAAGAAATTACAACCATATAGTGAAGTTCGAAGGTTTGGATGGTTCAGATAAAACTATTTTCAAGCTAACGAAAAGCATTTGCAGACACTTTAACTTCTGTCCACTTGGTGTTAATATTCTGTCTATGTCAAAACGTATTATGAATGAAGTATTCTGTACTGCAGAGGACATGGGTCTTCAAATATTTTACCAGGATACCGACAGTATGCACTTATATAATGAAGACATCCCAAAGCTTGCAGCAGAGTTTAAGAAGAGATACGGTAGAGAACTTATAGGAAAGAACCTTGGTCAATTTCATAGCGACTTTGCAGAAATAACACCTGGAAAACAAAGTTTAGCTTATAAAAGTATTTTCTGTGGAAAGAAGACCTACATAGACTTACTCACGAATGATTTAAATGAAGTTGCATTTCACTGCAGAATGAAAGGCGTGAAGCAAGATGTTATTGCTTTAACCGCTAATGAAATGTTTCCTGAAGCTATACAATGCTATTACAATGAAGATAAGAACATTCACATACCTGTTGGAACATATGACAAAGACTCTGAGTTCAGTTTAATGAAACTTTACAAAGCACTTTATGATGGTCAAGAGATTGCATTCGACTTATGTAAGTCATGTCAACCTTGCTTTGCTGAAAAGTTCAACTTTTCAATAACGACTAAAACAAGCTTTATTCGTAAGTTGAAGTTCTGAGGTCATTTATTTTTGTCAGCAATGAGGTCATTTGTGATAAAAATAAGCCGCTAGCGGCATGGGCGAAGCCTATGTGGTCATTTACAATACAGCTATTGTAGAGTTTAACAATTGTGCTTCAATGTATAAACAATCTTTCCCATCTGGAGGTAAGAACACTGGGCACTTATGGTCATGAGTGGAGAACATGTCTATCCAAAACTCACGATTGAAGCCAGTAAGCTTGTAATACTTAGGATTTGACAGTGGTGAAGTTCTTGTATGACCAATGAACTCATTTTCAACTCCCTTACTTAAGTTTGAATATAATATAGCTTGCTTTCTATCCCAAATGCCAGGTGTTACAATCTTTGAAAATTCATTTTTCCTCGGAAGTATTGCATCATAATTGAAAACATTCTTGAAGTCTTCATTGGGTTCAGAGATTTGAAACCTTATACGTAATGGATTTTCTTTCTTTTTAGCGACTTCATTGAATGGTGAATATATAACAAACTGACAGTCATGAGTTCCATCTTCATTTTCATTAAATTCATAATGAAAGTCTATAAGTTGTGGCTGACTACCTTCTTCTTTCAGTTGTGCAAGAAACTCACGTAAAGGCTGTAAAGTTTGTACTTCAATATTGAACTTTTTCTCGAACATCTCATTAAATGAAATCATACATTGCAACAATGTTGTATCGTCTTTAAAGTATTTGTATATGTGAATGTTTTGGGCGCTTAAAGACTGTTCGTCATTTTCTATCTCGACTTGAAGTATAAAGTCAACCTTTCTGAAAGCACGTGTTATATACATAGATGTTATGCCAATGTACTTCTCTTCATTTATGTTCACAATCCAGTCTGTTGGAAACTTAAACGTTACTCTGTTCCCCTTTATTTTGACGTCAGGGTTTTCACTACTGAACGCAACAGATAAAGGTATTTGTCTATACATTTAGTTTGGATAAAAATAAACCATTTACTCTTTCTTTGCTTCAGCTTCCTTTGCTTTTTGTTCTTCCTTTGCTTTTGCTTCTTCTCTAGCTTTTTTCGCCAGCAAACGTGGGTTCTTCTGTCTTCCAGCAGCTAATGCAGCTAGTTGTTTTTCACTAAGTTTTCTCTTTGGTCTCTCTGGCTTTTGTTCTGGTTTTTGTTCCTTCAGTTCGGATAAAATTTGTTCACGAATTTCTTTCTTCAATGCTTCAACATCTATGACCCCTTGGGTCTTGTCCGTAGGATTTGACTGAGTCATTTGACTGTAGATAAAAAACTAAATTAAAACTTTAACCGATGTAAAATGAGCTTGTCAAAATCAGAACGAGAGTCTATTATATTAAATGACGCCAGAGGAATACAACATCCTTTCTATTATGTAAGTCAGAGTAAAGATGGTAAAATATATGTAAGAAAAAGAAAGGTTCCATTAGCGAATACAGAGAGCGACAACATTAAGGTGCATGGCACCGAGGGCGAAGCCCATATAAAACCTTCTGTACAAACTGAGCCACCAAAAGAACAAGAAGAAAAGAAGCCAGATGTACTTTCAATAACGAACCAAGAGCTTATTGCAAAGTTCGTGAATTTCATTGAAAAGCAAACCGAGTCAAAGAACCCTGACCCACCAGTGAAAGAAGTTGAGACAAAAGAGAATGTACAGTTCATTGAAAATGTCAAGAAACAACTTCCACCACGAATACCAAGAAGAAGAGTGAGAATAATGAAGTAAATAGATATTTTTATCTGAAGTAAATACATGCAGAACGAACAGTTAAACGAATTTACTCCAGCAGAGCATATTCATCAGATTCGCTCATATTTCGATATCATAGACAATGCAGTTCAAATTGGTGACACTAATAGAAAATATTCTGACGCAAAGATTCCATCACAACCTGGAACTGCTAAAGATAACACATGGGTAACATTCAATCTCTCACCTCCTGGTGAAAATATGTTGGACCTTTACAATACATTCATTACGTATAAAATGGAAGGTCAATTTATTGTAGATAAAGAAATTGGTTCAGGTTCCAATAAAACAAACCCACCAGGATTTTGGATTGGTTTCGATGACGCTTTCTATGCAGTTGCTGGATATCAAATCCTTGCAAATGGTCGTATCGTATATTCTCAAGACAACGCAAGAGAAGAAGCATATATAACTTCAAACTCACAAACTACCGAACAAATAAAGAAAGTCGATGTTTTTCAAAGACTCGACATAAAGATGTATGGAGTCATTCGGGAACATGCAGAACAGGACAAATTGTTGGTGGTCCAATTACAGCAGGAAAATCATTTGATTTTAAGCTTCGTTTAAGAATTCCTGTTAGAAGATTCCTTCCATTAGAACCTATTCGATTTATTCCAGCTTTTGCAGGAAACATTCAGCTTAAAGTAAAGTTCAGTAGCGACGCCTTACAATGCACATCTATATCTGTAAATGATATCATTGCTTTCAATCCAACTCTTAAAGTTGCATTTGCTTCAGGTTCAAATCCACCGACAAATAAATTTGTTCCATGGAATGAACCATTCACTATGATAACGAGTGCAACTGAAGCTAGT